GAGAGAGAGAGAGAGAGAGAGAGAGAGAGAGAGAGAGAGAGAGAGAGGAGAGAGAATATTTTTTTAAATGTAAAAAGGACTGAAAAACATACAAGAATAAGAAAAATATCCAATGGCCATTTGGAATAACTAAATTGCCATTTATAAATAATGAAGCTAGGCAAAAAACTTCTATTTTAGACTAAGTCTCACTCTAGTCCTGAAGCTGGTTTGTAGAGCAGTTGGCAAAGATCCACCTGCCTCTGCCTCCCACATGCTAAACTAAAGGCTCACGCCACTCCTCCTAGAACATCAAAATTTGATTGAGTACTTGGAGAAGTCCATCACAAGAGGCTTTAATGTGTGTATGCCAATTTATACATTATATTACTACTGAGGAAAAAAACTACTAGATACTAGTACATTGGCACCACTGAGAATGAGCCAACATTTACCCACCAATCAGAAAAGATACTGAGTCACCCTAGATGTTTAATTGCATACTTGGACAATAATTAGTACATCCTTATTATTTAGAATCATGCCCAAGAGCATGGCACATAAAATATATTTGATATTTATATGATAACAGAATAAACAAACAAATGACCAAAGGGTAGAAATAAGAACTGCTCAATCTGGGCCAGCAAGGTGGCTCAGTGGGTTATTGGGCAGAGATTAACTTGTTCAAATTGAAAATAATTTAAGCTAGGCATGGTGGTGTACTCCTTAAGTCCCAGCATTCAAGAGGCAAGCAGATCTGTGAGTTTGAGGCCAGCCTAGTCTACATAGTGAACTCTAGGACAGGCAGGGTTATGTAGAGATCCTGTCTCAAAAAAAAAAAAAAAAAAAAAAAGCCAAAAAAATAAAAATAACTTAAATGTATGCAAATCCACCTGAGAGCAATGGTGTACTGAGTAAGACAAGGAATCCACAGCTCACTGTGATTCTTCACTCTCAGAGCCTTCTGAACGTGGGGAACTATGCAGCACAATGTAAAAAGACTAGGAGTTGGGTACTAGATTCCTTCTTACCTGATGGGAAGCCAAAGACTCCAGACTGTGGGATCATAGCTGGCTCCAGGGAGCCTTCTTGGCTAGCAATAGAGATATTTCTTAGCCTAAGGCTATCATAAAGGCCTTGGAGCTTTTGGTACTGGCGGTTGCGCTCCATAAGTTTTTCAGAGATATCACTAAACTTTTTCTTGTATTCTTCTAGAACTTTCTTCATGGAGGTAACCTCCCCTTTCATAGAGGTCAACTCTACATCCTTGCTCTGTATTTGCTGTGTGTATATCTTCTCCATCTGTTTTAAGTGGTTCTCGGCCTTGCTGAAATTATACTCTTGATAGAGACGTTCCTGGTGTACCTGTCCAAATAAACGAGAATCAGCACAATATCATAGACTCTAAATCCTCATCCAGGCAGAAGTGGAAAGAATGCTTATATAGGGACATCATTATTACAATATTTAAAACCTGGTTAAAAACATAATTACAACATACAATGAGTGGAAAATGGGCTGCTCAGAAAACTATACCACCAAAACAGGATGTCTTATCTACAAGTGACACACAGCCTGAAAGTTAAGAAATACAACAGAAGTTAGGTGTGAAGGTTTATGCATATCGTCTCAGCAGACAGGAAATGTAGGCAGGAGGATCAAACTCAAGGCCACCTGGGCCACATGGGACAAAACCAAGAAAAAAATCATATTACAGGAGATATAAATGAAGTCAAAATTTCCCAATGATCCAGAGTAAAATAATAAGATCTCAAAATATCCTTGCTTCCTATAATTTACACACATGTAACCCCATGTTGGGCAGAACACGTACAAGCACAGACATTGGGGGTTGGTCCTGGTGCCACTATGTAATCTAGATCTGGTGGCCCTAAGACAAATGGAATCTCAGATACGCCAGCTTTTGTTGTGCAAACCTTGCTCCCAAGTTAAATAATTGGTCAATAAAAGGCCTGTGATTGGGCAATAGAGAGAGATAAGCAGGACTTCTGGAGAAAGAGAAGGGAACCCTTGGAAGAAAAAGGGAAACTTTTCACCAGGAGACAGGAGAGGAGACATGTGACTAAGAGCCTGGAAGGTACAGCTAGCCACATGATTGGATGGGATTAGGTGGTCAGGTTATTTACATGAGCTAGTCAGGAGTCTACCCAGCTAAGGCCTAAGCTCTAAAATATTAAAAGGTCTCTGTATGGTTATTTGGAAAACTTCCTGTTTAAGGAATAACTGCTGACATATTAGTTTTCAGCATTAACTAATAAGAATATTAATAATTACTTTTCACACACAGAGTTTATTCACAAAATATAAAAGCAATACCTACTTAGCACATGACAAATACTTAATAAAATTAGGAAAAATATTTAAACTAAGTTTTCTGTACATTCACGTATTTATATGAAATATAGACATAAGAAAGGACTTTTCTACCTTCAGGGTAGTTAGGGATTGAGTTCAATGGTAAAGTACAACCTTTTAAGCACAAGGCCCTGGGTTTGGTACCTCACACCAAGAGAAACAAAGATCCTCCAAAGGCTTCAAAATCACACTTCAGTGTATATGTGTCTGTATACATGTGTACTTGTGCATGTGGAGGCTGATGTGGCCTATCAGGTATCTTCCTCACATGAGAGCCCAGCTCTCCTATGGTACTGAATTCAGGTCCTCATGCCTACACAAGGACTTTAGCCACTGAGACATCCCCTCAGCCCGTAGGCACTAACCTGGTATGTCCAGAAGGCCAATGCTCGGGAGCTAATGTCCAAAACAACCTCTGGTCGAAGCCCTGCCAACACCATAGCTTTGTACTCCTCTGATGGGCTGAGTTCTGTTCGGACAATATCTAGCTTTCCCGAAAGGGTACTGTTGCAAGCAGGGCAGATGGCTGGTGAACGACTGAACTCACCACTGCCATGCTGATCACAGAATATGTGAGAGCAGGCAGTGACCCAAGCATAACCCGAGAGCTTGATACGACACTTCCGGTAATTGCAAAGCAACATGTCTTCGCACAAAGACATGATGAATCTCCAAAAGAATCCTAACAAGGAATAAGAAGGCAAGTAAAACTGTAACGCATGTGGAATAAAAAAATGTACTGTTATTTGATTTTTTAAAAAAGACATTGTTTTAATAAAAGTACATTGCTTTCAGCCTCAATGCCTTGTTTTTCAAGTCCATGAAGTCATATATACAGATAATTCCAACTCTTACCAATGTTAAAAATATTGTGCACATGCAAAGGTTCAGAAACATCACATAGCACAAAAACAAAAATTGAATCTGTCCTTTGTGCCATTTTCCAACACCAAAACATACAGCATTCTACTAAGACCAGGAATGCTGGTGCAAGTCTTTCTCATACAGTCTTTGAAAGGCAGAAACAGAGAAACCGTTTTAAAGTTAACTGTCCAGGACAGTTAGGACTAGTACTCCTCATACTTGGTAAATATGAGATTGCACATACCTGCAGCGTTTTTCAGTAAAAATTTAAGTGACATCTTTAGGTTATTTTATACATCTTGACATCTCATATCCCTTAACCAAACTGCCTTGATTTTAAAAGACTAGCTGCCTGATAAAATTAGATGAGGCTAATTTATCTATTATGACACTTGAAAATCCTACATTAAAATGTCTGTTTATATTTTCAGTTAAACAATACATCTATGAATATTGCTATGGTTTGATTTAAAACATTTCCAACACATTCTCTAGTCTAAGTTATTTTTCAGTAGTGTTCATCATAGACAGCAACAGCTTTAACAAGTCATATGGTGTTTAATACTGGGTATATCAATTATATACTAAGGAAAAGTAAGCACATTCAATATACAAGTTTCCTTAGTACTGTGATTGATGGGCCACACCTCTAATCACTCAGAAAGCTTTGTTCGAGGCCAGCCTCAGCTACACACCAAGATCCTCTCTCAGAAAGCAAACCAATGTTGGGGGTGGGGAGAATGGATATGCTGACACCTTCATCTCAAATGTCACACCTGTACTGCCGACCGCCTGAGGATTCTGCGAATCTGAGGCAACTATGGGCTACAATGAGACCCTGTCTTCAGATATACCGACACCCTTGCTGTGTTTCTAAGTACAACTCACATGACATCGTAGGACAATTTTACTTTACCTCCAGCAGGGTAAAGCGCCCTTCCTAGCTGAGGTGAAGGTGCAGCCTCCACATCGCCACAAGGCAGCCGGGAAAGTCACACAAGATGACAGCCAGCCAAATTTTTCAGAACATGACCCACAGTTTTCCCTTCATTTTCTGCCTTTCCCCACCTCTTACAGAAAACAAAAAACAAAAAAACAAAAACAAAAACAAATACCTGCAGCAAGGCAAGCTAAAGGTGTCGGCCTTCCACTATAGACACAAAATTCGCGTGGCCGAGCTGCCAGGGCGCATGCGTGGTGCCCGCAAGGCCTGATGGGTAGCACGAGGCGGGCTGCTGGGTAGCACCGGGCACTCACTCTTGAGGTAATCAAGTGCCTAGCTTTTCTTCTGCTTTTACAGGTCAATCTACAGTTAATAAAATAACTTCCTTTAGTCTGTACAATTATTCACAAACTGCTTTAAAGGAAGCAATAGGTAGTAGTGGTGATGGCAGCCTTTCTTTATTGATATTGATGCATTTCTTTAATCCCAGCACTGGAGAAAAAGACTAATCGAGTTCCAGAGTAGCCCAGGTCAAACAGTAGACCCTTTCTCAAAAGCTACATGTTTCCTGTGTTTCTGCGTGGATGTCCCAGAGTTGTGAGGGGCCCTCTCAGATGCTGAGAGCTGGTCTAGGTCAGTGAGAACTGCTGGGGCATCCCTCCAGTCTCAGGACTTTGAGGCATCTTTACTGGTAGTTAAGTGGCTGTTTTGAAATAAATGAGTATGTTGTCTGCATGTACATCATCTGCACACTATAGACAGCAACATGTGCAACCTTCAGGGTTTACTTTGTGTTCTTGTTCATCCAACTTGCGAGTTGATTCTGTGACACAATTCTGGTGAGTCAGCCTTTATTTTTGAGTACATTCTACCCTCACATTGCATTATTTGAAGATGCTTAGAAATGTATTAATATTTATTAACTGGACCCAGTGATGGTGCCACATGCCTTTAATCCCAGCACTCAGGAGGCAGAGAAAGGCAGATCTCTGAGAGTTCCAAACCAGCCTGGTGTACAGAGTTCAAGGACAGCTGGGATGAGAAACCATGCCTCTGGGAAAAAGAAAGAAATCCATTACTTGGGGTGGCTCAGTGGTTAAAACCATTGGCTGTTCTTGCAAAACACCTGAATTTGATTTCCAACACCCATATAGCATCATCTCAAAACTGCCTGTAACTCCAGTTCTAGGGACTCTGATGCCCTCTGACCTCCTCAAGCACCAGATGTGACTTACAGTCAAGCAAAAACACTCATACACATATTAAATTTTAAAACTTTTATTAAAACAAATCATTTACAATGAAACACGAATGTTCTAATAACTCCCAAGATCACTGTGGAATGCTAGTATAATCAAAAAGTTCTCTACAGCTATTGGCCATGCTTTGAACACTTCACCCTATAACACCTGTTGCTTTGTAATTGTTTGACATGGCAAAGTTCAGAAAACTAGTGTGCGGACCGACACCCTGTCTATCCTTACGAAGCCCTGAGAAGACAAGTCAGTTTTGTATATGATGGATAAAATATTACCTAGGCTCAGTGAGAGGAGCAAAGTTTATTTTCTACCACAAAAAGAAGCATTTAAAAGACAAAACACTCTGATAATGATAGGGATCCAGCACATGAAACAGAAAAGACCATTGCCTTATGAAATCTTGGTTAGTGCCAAACCAAGAGTAGTCTGCTGGAAAAAAATATACTGTTACATGGGGACACACAATAAGACCATTGCCTTATGAAATCTTGGTTAGTGCCAAACCAAGAGTAGTCTGCTGGAAAAAATATATTGTTACATGGGGACACACAATATATTCTCATTACATACTGTGCCTAATTTTAGAACTCAGTGGAGCTTTGGGAACCAATGATAATGGCACTAATGAGTAGGCCACTTGGCAGACACAAGACTTATTCAACTTTATATGTTTTTGCCCACATGTCTGCACCCCATGCGTGCACCGAATACATGAACCAGATGAAAGCATCAAATCCCCTGGAACTAGAGCTAGCTACAGAAGGTTGTGAGCCTTCTACTCCTCTAGAGAAGCAACCAGCACTCTTAAACCCCAACCACCTCACCTCTCTAGCTCAGAAGTTTCTAGGTAGTATAGAAATTACCCTTTGAGTCTTATACTATTATTACTATCTGGGATAAAATATTAGAAAACTTGCCAATGTTATAATTGAAGTGATAGAACACAAGCCAGTGTGAATAGAAGCCTACTAGGTATCCTACATGTAACCACTATACTGTACCATCTCACAAGAGCTTTGGCTTTTTAAATACTAAAATTCAAGCAGCTGGCCACAAATTACAAAGCAGAATTTTCAGATTCTTGTGTATCAATAATGTCCCAATCTCAAGACTTACCACTGACACTGCAACTATCATTTTTCATACAACCATGATTTACAGCATGAAGGTCCAGACAGGAAATGTGACTGGTATCAACCTGGTGTTCTCTCCTGAATGTTAAATATTTGTACTTCTTGTATTTCATCCTTCATTTCTGGAGGGGAAAAAGGGAGGAGGTATTTAATGCTGTTCATAAGCTGTGTTTGCTTCCAAATTTCTTATACAAACATGTATAAAAAGTGTCAAGTAAGGAATTATGTCATAACCTGTTTGGCATGCAAACCCATTTAACAAATAAACTCATAAAATTGAATGTTAAACAAGTAATCATATAAAGACTGAAAAGTGATGAGTTTACTTTACAACTGTCAAAGTTAAAAAAGATATTAATTAAAAAGTGGGGATGGGGAAGAGCACTGGCCACTCTTCCAAAATACCCAAGTTCAAGTCTCAGCACTGAATGAATGGTGGCTCACAGCTGTCTGTTAACTCTAGTCACAGGGAATCCAAAATGTCCTCTTCTAGCCCCAATGGACACTGTAGGTACTTGGTACACAGGCACACAAGACAGCAGAATACCAATACACAATACACAATTTTAAACTGTCAAGCTCATTAGCTAACAGAATTATACCAGCCATCAGTACTTTTTCTGTAGTGTTCAAGATATTAAGGATCAACTAGATTCATCTCATATTAGCCCAAAGATAAAAACACAAAATGTTGATTCTATCAAATTCTTTAAATAATGAAGTCCCCAGGAGGGAAGGGCTGAAGTCAAGTTAAGAAATGTTTAGCAAGCTGAATTCAATTTCAAATGTTTGCCCTAACTCTAGTCTGCTCAGCACATGTATATAATCAGTGTGATCAGCTGAAACACGGACTTAACATGCATCTCATCATAGCAAACTGTAAATGACCGAGGAAGGGCAAACATCAAAGGCCTTTGCAACTAAGTCAGCTTCTAGTAATAGTGCATCCCTTATCATTCATGGTAAAGATGATTATTAAATTTACCTGTTATCAAATGAATCCTGTTTAATCTAGGACTCCAAATTGAAATACTAGAGCCAACTGCTTACCATCATCTAAGAAAACACAAAGGTTATATATTATAATTACATAAATCACAATCAACATGTTCCATATATCAAATGATAAGGAAATTAGAGTAACTTTATTTTCAACTTGACTCTCCACTAATGTCATTTAAAACCAGATGTGGTGGCACACACCTGCCATCCCAGCAGGCTGAGGCAGGAGAATGGAATATTGAAATCAAACACACCAAGTTTAAGGTCACTTAGCTTGGGCTGCAAAAGGCCCTCCAAATCCCAATAATAGTAGTAGTAGTAATAATAATAATAATATCCCAAGCCAACATCAAATTGGGGGAGGACCTCTACACAAACTCAGAATTTTAGGAATTAAGATGGCACTAGAGAGATGGCTCACAATTCGGAGCACTTGCTCTTCCAGAGGACCTAAGTTCTTTTCCCAATGCTCATGTCACAGCAGGCCAGGGAGTCCAACACCCTCTTCTGGCAAAACAAGACATTATGAAAAAAACCAATTCATAAGGTTTTTTAGTAAGTAGAACAGTAATCCAAAATAGTTTTCAAATCATATTTTAATTTCTCTTGAGCCAATATTAATTAATCTTCCATAAGAAAAACAACTTCCCCAAACAGAAAAATCACTTGGAGCCCCTGTTGACCACAAGATGGCAGTGTAAGGAAATTTTTACTTCCTCTGTCCTAAGAGCTTTCAACTAGCCAGAGTCAACTAATTTAGGCTCATAGGGGCTCAGACTGAAGTGACAATAGGGGGTCTACATGGGACTGACCTAGAGCCTTTGCATATATAATGTGTAGCTTGGTCTTCTTGTGGGCTGCCTAACAGCGGGAGCAGGCAGGGGCTGTCTCTGACCTTTGCCTGCTTTGGGGACCTATTTCCTCCTATTAGGTTGCCTGTTTGGCCTTAGTAAGAGGAGGTAGCCAGTATTAGTGTAACTTTATATGCCATGTTGGGTTGATATTCCTGAATGGCTTGCCCTTTTCTGAAGGGTGGGGGGAATGGGAGGAGAAGTAGGGAAAATTGTAATTGGAAGGCAATGAGAATTTTTTAAAGAGCTTACTTGTAACCAAAATAAAGTTCATTACTACAAATAACCTTCTGACACATTATTCACCTAATTATTAACTAAAAATTCTTAATAGTATGCAATTTAACATTAAACTCATGGTTTAGATTAATGATAGGACAAAAAAAATGTCTAGATGTGGTGGCTGAGTGCAACCCAGCATTCAGAGGGAGAATTTTTGGATTTAAGGCCAGTTTAACCCAGTCAGTCTAAACAAAAAGAATCCCTTGACAAGGAAAGCTTCTAAACAAGAAAGTTATATACTAAGTAGGTATCAAAAATTGCATGTGTAGTAAGTAAGCATAGTCCATCCACAAAAAAGAAGCATTTAGAAGACATTCTGGGGCTGGAGAGATGGCTCAGTGGTTAAGAGCACTGACTACTCTTCCAGAGGTCCTGAGTTCAATTCCCAGCAACCACATGGTGGCTCAAAACCGTCCGTAAAGGGATTTGATGCCCTCTTCTAGTGTGTCTGAAGAGAGCAATGGTGTACTCACATACATAAAATAAATCTTTAAAAAAAAGACATCCTGATAATGATAGGGATCAAGCACACGAAACAGAAAAGACCCATTGCCTTATGAAATCTTGGTTAGTGCCAAGCCAAGACTAATCTGCTGAGATTGTACCCAGTTCCATGGGAATACGAATATATTCTCATTCCATACTGTGCCTAATTTTAGAACTCAATTGAGCTGTGGGACCCAGTGATAATGGCACTAATGAGTAGGCCACTTGGCAGACACAGGACTTATTTAACCTTATATTATTATATTTATTTTAACTTTGTATAGGTTTTACTGCAGTACATACATGAACCAGATGAGGGCATCAGATTCCCTGGAACTAGAGCTAGCTACAGAAGGCTGTTTGTGAGCTTCCACGGGTGTCCTTAGGGAATTAAACTATTTAATTAGAATTAAGTTTCCTATCAATCCTGTAATGCCAACTTACTTGGAAGGCAGAGGCAGGAAAATCAATACAAGCCAGTCTGGGCTCCCGAGCAAAAGCCTATCTCAAAACTATTCAAACTACCAACATTTTTAATTGTTCAGTAACCTGTATTGCAATCCTGGACAATACAATATAACACAGAACACTTAAACCATTACAGAAAACTCTACTGGAAATCAGGACCAAGACAGTTAGCATGACTAATAAGTTGATAAGAAAAGGAGTTGCTACCTTTAAAATTACTACACATGTAGCCAAGTGTGGTAGCAGATACCTGTGATCCCAACACATGAGAGGTAAAACTGAGAGGATCAGGAATAATGTCAACTTGGACTACATAACCCAGAAAAAAAAAAAAGACATAAAAAACACAATTTTACAATTTCGTATTTACATAGAACTCTCTGCCTCTGATAATTTAGATCAATACCCTAAGATGTAACAACAATTCTGCCTAAACTCCACCCTGCTACTTTAGTGTGAAATAGCTACGGAAGACAGCTTGCTTTTGAGAACACTGGTTCTGCAGGTCAGAAACTAACGAGCCATGCATGCACAAAGGGCTATTCCATTCCACATCTCTCATCGAATAAACTGGAGACATGTGAACAGAAGAAGACAGCATAAATGTCTACAGTTTGAATAATGTCTGCCTCAAGTCTAATCCAAATGCTTTACCTTGTTTGAAAGGGGCAACCACTTTGTCATAAAACCCAAATACTGTATTTCCACTCTCTCTCTCAAAACATATATTCCCTAAGAATTTCATAAATATGCCATAATCAAAGACTGTTAGGTGTGGTGGCCCACACCTTTAATCCCAACAGTCAAGAGGCAGGCAGATCTCAAAGTGTAGGCCAACATAACAAATTTGAAGCCAGCCAAGGGATACACAGCAAGACCCTGTCTAACAACAACAAAAAGAAGAGAAAACCTTGTGGTATGAACCTTTAATTTAAGCCTGAGGCAGAAGGTCAGCAGATTAAAAGTAAACTTTAATTTTTTACAAAGCTAGAAGAGTCGAAGCTCTGCCAGTGTCCCACTTTTCAGCACCATGGGGAAGTTGCAAGAACCAGCATGTGTGTAACGCAGAAAATCTGGGTCAAAATGAGTACCTGCATTTATAGTCCCATCCAGCCTTGAAACCTTCCTCTTGAGAATGTCCAAGCCCACTTTATAGATATTCTGGGGTTTTCACAGGGCCTCTGGACCTGTACTGGGCTAGACTCAGCCACTGGGCTGAGTGCTACAGTCCCAGCTCTTTCCCAGACACATTTCATCTTCAACCTGAAACTAGAGAACAAAAAACAAACAAACAAACAAACAGGTAATGAGGCACAACTGAGACACAGACACCAAGTTCTGTTTTGAACTCAATCAGCTGTTTAGCATACACAGGGACAGAATACAGTGTGAGCATAATTGACCAACCGTGTGGCTCGTCACACTGCTTCATCCATCCAGGCCCACGACTGCTGTTAACCCGTTTCATTAGCGTTCCCTTCCTTAGAGCTGATCATCTACTTCCTACATATCTCACCATTATTTAAGTACATGGTTTTTGTTTTAAAAATATGCAAGCAAGGCTTAGCGAATGGCAAGGTGACTAAGCTTAATGGTTAAGAAAATAAATGTAGGATATACAGGCCACATATGCCTGTTAGCACATGCAACTCGCTAGATTAGGCTTCTCTTCCCACATTTTCTACCTAAATAACAATATCCCGTGGGTCAGGTGTGATGCCACACACCTTTGATCCCAGCTTTCAAGAGACAGTTACAGTGGATCTCTGAGTTGAGGCCACTCGTGTCTACTTAGCAAATTCCAGGACAGCAAGAGCTACATGCGACCCTGTCTCAAAAAGAAATAAAAATAACCAACTGAGTAGGGCTGCAGAGATGGACCAGCAGTTAAGAAAGCTTGCTGCCTTGCAGAGATCTCAGCTCAATTCCCAGCACCCATGTTGGGCAGCTCACTGCTGTTGGTAACTCCTTCTGGTTCAGAAGGCATCTGCATACTTTATGCATATGCCCTCACACATGTACAGACTTAATTATCCAGCCTAGCGGTGGCGACCCATGCCACCCAGGAGGCAGAGCCGGGAGTATCTGAGTTTGACACCAACCTGGTCTACAAAGAGTTCCAGGACAGCCAGAGCTACATAGAGAAACCATGTCTCAAAAGAACAAAACAAACTTTACATTCAGACAAGTATCATCAAGGAGAAAAACAGGAGTCTTGTGAGCTCCACACACGAGGTCACTATTAGAAAACTTCTTATGAGGAAAAACTATCCACAATGTGGATGTTATATAAATTCATACCTTACTTTTGCAAAGTAGTTAGCATTTACTATACATCAACTAGGATGTATTTCGCTCGCCCACAATGGTTCACACTATCCTCCGAGCAGAGCAGTATCACCAGAACAGACCTAGGCGCAACAATTCCAATATTGACTTGAGCAAAGCTAAAGTCCTTCTCAAAGTGTTTTAAGTACTTTAAGACACAGAAGCGACCGTTAGCCCTCCTAGGGCGTTTTAAATCACCTGTCCTCAGAGTTTACTATCTAGTCTCACACATGGTCTCAGCAAGTAAGTACTACAACAAACACTGTTCACAAAAGGCTCACAAATGCGCCAAGGTGGTGGGCCCGCAACATTCACCGGAGAACTAAAGACAGAGGATGAACTCGCTGTCCCAGGATCGCCCCAGATTAGCGCCAGGGTAGTAACGGTGCCTTTTCCCGTTAGAAGAAAGTGATGCCGAGGATCTCCCCAGATTCAGGAACCCTGTGCACTAGGTGGAATGTACTGTTTCTGGGTCGCCTGGTCTCGGAAAAGCTGGCAAACCTAGGACTGCCGAGGCCCACGTGGAAACAAACCAGGTACTCTACCTGCCTGCCCTCCCCTGACCTCCCGAAACAGAAATGTATCTCTTCTCAACTCACAAACTCCAGCGCCGACTTGAAATAAAAGCCTTTCCCCCGGTTAGACCCAAAGAAAGAGAAATTTAAAACCAAAGATCCGAGTTAAAATCCAGAGATCCAAATTAACTGCGCACTTACCAGACCACCAGAAGCGAGAGATAGAGAACGCTGAAGGACCGAAAGCTACCTAAGTAATGGGACTCCGAACCTGATTGGCTGAGTTCAAGGAGCCTCTCCCCCTCCTCCTCCTCCTCCTCGTCCTCCCCCTCTACCTCAACCTCCTCTTAAAATGTGCTGCCGGACTGCGACTCAACTCTGATTTTAAGACTGAACTCCTACACGCAATTTCTTTCTGCATCACGACACAAAACACAAGCAAACACAGATAACTATAGTGGTTTGAGTATGTCCTTGTTATACTCAAAACAGTTTCCATCTTGAGTAACCTCCCATCCTTTTGCAACTTCAGCATGGCTAACTTAACGCAAGGTAATAGGTCCAATTACAGTTTACAACTATCCGAGTTAGAAATAGCATTCAGGCCGAGCAATGGTGGCACACGCCTTTAATCCCAGCACTTGGGAGGCAGAGGCAGGCGGATTTCTGAGTTCGAGGCTAGCCTGGTCTACAGAGTGAGTTCCAGGACAGCCAAGGCTACACAGAGAAACCCTGTCTCGAAAAATAAAAAAATAAAAAAATAAAAAAATAAAAAAATAAAAAAATAAATTGCATTTAGGGCAATCATCAAGCTAACAAACAATCAATACATTTATTAATGGGTAGTTTAATGCTTATCCTTCAAAATAAAATTTTGAATACTTCTACACATCTAAACCTCCATTTCCCCAACTTAAAATTATTGTAGTACGACAAGGGTAGGGTTAACAGGTTAGCCCTTGATGTTAGGTTTTCCCTTGATGTAAGCTTTTTGTACCATTTGCATTGCGATTGGACACCATCTTTTAGACAAAGAAGTACTCTACAGAACAGGAAAAGATCTTTACCAAGTACATATCCAATAGAGGATTAATATCTAGAATACATTAAAACTTTAAAAAATGCATATCAAGAAAATTAATAACCCAGTTCTAAACAAAGAAATCTCAAAGGATGAAAGACAAATGGTTAAGGATCACTGAAGCAATGGTCAGCATCTTTAGTCATCAGGGAAATGCCAATCAAAACTATTCCATCTTACCCCAACTAGAGGACCAAGATCAAGAGAACAAATGACAGCTCATGCTGGCAAAGATGTAGGGAGAGAAAAACACTCATCTATTACTGGGAAAGTGAAAACTTCCACAGCCACTGTGGAAATCAGTGTGGCATTTCCTCAGGAAGCTGGGAACAGAGCTACCTCAAGTTCCAGCTATGTATCACTCTTGGACATATACCCAAAGGATGCTTCATTCTGCTACACAGACACTTGCTCATCCATGGTCATTGCTGCTGTACATAATAGCCAGGAATAAGAAGAGAAAATTGGAGAGAATTTTCGGAGAGTTGGCTCAGAGGTTAAGAACACTGATTGCTCTTCCAAAGGTCCTGAGCTCAATACCCAGCAACCACATGGTGGCTCACAACCATATATAATGATATCTGGTGCTCTCTTCTGGCATGCCATTGTACATACATAATAAATAACTGAGTCTTAGAAAGAGAGAGAGAGAGAGAGAGAGAGAGAGAGAGAGAGAGAGAGAGAGA